TATACCATGGAATACTATTCAGTCATTAACTTTAGGAGTTTTTTTGTATTAACCTGGATGGAGGTGGAATACATTCTTCTTAGTAACACATCACAAGAACGGAGAAGCAAGAATCCAAAGTACTCTGTTCTAATATGAAGGCAGTAGATGAGCTAATACAAGGGGCGGGGGGGGGGGGGGGGGGGGGGGGGGGGGGGGGGGGGGGGGGGGAGGGGGGGAATGAGGGAATGGGGAGAGGGAAAGACGAGGGTATGGGGGGTTATAGTCTATGGCACACCTCTTGGTGGTAGGACACAATTATAAGAGGAACTTTATCTAACAAATGCAATCAATGTAACCTAATCCTTGTACCCTCAGTGAATCCCAAATAATAACAATAAAAAATAAAACCAAATATAATAGATGATTCAAGGGAAAAAAAGTGATAAATGACCACCAATTATCTAAGGTGTCATAACAGTATTATAGTTATGTAAAACAATATCCTTTTTTTTTTTTTTTGGTTATATTAAGCTTTATTAAAAACACAAGAGCTAGAAAAAGTGGGAGACAAAAGCAAGAACAAGGAACAAGGGCAACAAGTAGAAAATAGTAACAAATAGGCATAGAGCTATCCTTGGAATTTCTTCGTTATTCTTTTAACATATCTGGAATCTGTAGCGATGTCCTCTCATTCATTTCTGATATTAAAAATGTATTCACTCCCTCATTTCTACTTAATCTGATAGTGTTTCAATTTTATTGATCTTTTCAAAGGATAACCTTTTATTTTGCTAATTTTCTCTATTGATTTCCTGTTTTAGGTATTATTGACTTTTGCTCTAATTTTTGCTATTTTTCTCCTAAATACTTTGGATTGACTTTACTCTTATTTCCTAAGGGGCAAATTTAAATTACTGATTTTTGATTGTTCTATTATATACATTTGATATTATAAATTTTCTTTTAAATACTGTTTTCTCTGCATTCCCCCATTTTTTTTTGAGACAGTTTCACTATGTTGCCCTTGGTAGAGTGCTTGCTATCACAACTCACAACAACCTCAAACTCTTGAGCTTAATCAAGTCTCCTGCCTCAGCCTCCCAAGTAGCTGAGACTTTAAGTGCCCACCATATACCTGGCTATTTTTTGTTGCTGTCATGGTTTTTTTTAGCAGGCCTGGGCTAGATTTGAACCCATTTGCCCCAGGGTATGGGACAAATGCCCTAACCATTAAGCTACAGGCGCCAAGCTACAGGCCCTCTAAATTTTGAAATATGCTTTCATATTCATTTTTTCAAAATATTTTTAATTATTGATATTTATTCTATATATTAAATGTGTGTTGTTTAATATCCAAGAAATTTGGGATTTCTTCTTGTTTACCATTCCATTATTGATTTCTAGTTTAATTTTATTAGGGCCTAATAGCAGACATGATTTATACAATTTTTTAATTTGTAATATGGCATGTTTTGTAAGACAAAATGTGGGCTAACTTGGTGAATGTTCCATATAAACAATATCCTATGTTTTTATTTTCCTTTTTTGTTTTTTTTGTTTTTTTTTTTTTTAAGAGATAGGCTCTTGGTATTTTGCCCAGGCTGGAGTATAGTAGCTATTCACAAAAGCAATCATAGTGCATTACAGCCTCCAATCTCAAACTCCTAGGCTCAAGCAATCCTCCTGCCTCTACTACCCAAGTAGCTGGGGATATAGGCACATACCTGGCCAAAATTCTCATTTTTAGGCAATACATGCTTAAGTATTTAGGGGTGGAATATTATGTCAACAATTTAAATTTTCAGCAAAAAAGAAAAATTTATTTTACATATATGTATAAATGTACACATATGTACAGAAAAATCAAATTGGTGTACACAGGTCATGGGAAGTTATTCATTGAAATAGTTATTATTTCAACTACTCAGTATGTTTAAAAATTTTCATTTAAAAGTTGAGCAGAGGTGGCACCTATGACTCAGTAAGTAGGGCACCGGCCCCATATACTGAGGGTGGTGAGTTCAAACTTTACCCCAGCCAAACTGCAACAACAACAACAACAAAATAGCCAGGTGTTGTGGTGGGCGCCTATAGTTCCAGCTACTTGGGAGGCAGAGGCAAGAGAATCACCTAAGCCCAAGAGCTGGAAATTGCTAGGAGCTGTGATGCCATAGCACTCTACTGAGGGCTACAAAATGAAACTGTCTCTAAAAAAAATTAAAAAAAAGTTGAGCAGAAAAAAAGATACCAATTATCATAGATATATAAAGTGATCTCCCAAATACATCAAATAAAAAGAAATGCAAGATGCAGCATAGTTTATACAATGTGCTACGTATAATGTGAAAAAAAAAGAAAAGGTAAAAATCATATGGTATGTGATGTGTATGAGAGAGAGTATATGTGTATACCTGTTTACATTATAACCAATTAAAATGGTTACATATGGGAGATAAATTTAGGTTAGAAACCTGTCTGAGCTTGGAAGTGAAATGCCTCTGGGTATATCATTTTATCTAGTTTTGACCTTTATACCATAAAAATGTGAAAACAAGAAAAGAAATAACTAAAACTGGAAAGATGTTAAAATATTTACAGTCACATAATTTCTCTATTCAATCAAAGACAAATTAATCAAGTTTATTTTACTTGTTAATGTGGTTGTTAATTGTCTTTTTTGTTCCTTCTGAGCACCAGAGCCACTGAAAAGGAGCTATTGCTGGTCAGGAAACTTAGGATCTTTTTTTATTTTTTTTTTTTTGAGACAGAGCCTCAAGCTATCCCCCTGGGTAGAGTGCTGTGGCTTCACAGCTCACAGCAACCTCCAACTCCTGGGCTCAAGCGAGTCTCCTGTCTCAGCCTCCCAAATAGCTGGGACCACAGGCGCCTGCCACAACGCCCGGCTATTTTTTGGTTGCAGCCATCATTGTTGTTTGGCAGGTTCGGGCTGGATTCGAACCCACCACCTTAGGTGTATGTGGCTGGTGCCTTAGCTACTTGAGCCACAGGCACCGAGCCAAAACTTAGGATCTTATTGCAGATCTGCCCCTCAGTAGGGCAATCCTAGACAAATAACCATGCTAAGCCTCAATCCCAAAAAGGAATTAAATTCAATGATTTCTAAGATTTTTGTACAACTAAAAATTCAGGGACTCAACAAATAGGAATTTTCCAACTGCATAGTCTTCTTCAGCTTGATGAGTAACAAAGCTCCATTATATAGTGACTTACACATTCATTCACTTTCTGCAGTACAACAGAAGACAAAGTGTAGTGAAATAAAACTTAATTCTCTGACGCCTTCTGGCAGTAATTAGTTACAACAGGGTACTTTTCTTTCTCTTAGAAGTTTGCATTGGCAACAGAAAGGAAGCAAGCCGCCAGTCAGGCAGCTGCACTCACCAGGCTGCCAAACCTCATTGGTTAGCAGAGGACGGAAGAAGCAGCCCATAACAAAGTCTACTGCAGCTGAACTCCGGAGGAGTTTCACTAACTGTCCTGAGTCAAGGGGGTTAGAAAGCTTCATGAATTATTTTACTAAACTAATCCTACTTTACAAAAAGTTGCCAAAAAAGGCAGCCTTAGGACGGAAATATATAATGCTAGGAATAGTTTCTGGAAAAAACCTCTGCAGATTTGAATGTAAGCTACAAGTCCCAGAAACCTTCTTCACTCTCTCTACCTCATACTCTGCTCCACCCAGGCTTCCCTTCTTCAAGACCCTAAGGAAAGACACAAATAGTCTTGTGACTTCCCTGGAAGTTTAAGATCTGTGCAGCTGCAGCCTCATTCTAATGTGAGGTAGGATAGCCAGGAAAGGAGCTGGGAAGCCGCAAGCTTAGGTTAAGCACAGAGAAAAGTCTAGCCTGCAGGGTGAGCAGGAAGGAAATGCAGAGGGCTCTGAGCTGCAGGACCCCGGAGGTGGTGGTGAATATTTAAACACCCTCATCCCCTAGTTTTGCAGGAAGATCAAAGAGAAGGCTGAGTATAGAAAAAGGAGTAAGACAGGATGAAGGAATAAAAAACAGAATGACAAATTTTGTTTCCAAACTCCTTAAAGGACTGTGCCTGCAGGACCAAAATGGGGTCTAGGCTCTTGGGGGAGAGGGGGAGCGGGGGTTTCCTCTAGAACAGACAAGCTAGAGCTTTTGTTTGAAGAGGGGAATAAGTTCAAAAACCCCTGGAAAGGTCTTCAGAGATTATTAAGGCAGGCTGGAGTTTTGCCCTAGCATGGAGAGGACTGGCCCTTCACTAGAGGATTGGAGGATGCCTGGATGCTGTGCCTCAGCTGGATTTCCACAGGAGGCTGGCAGAAAGGGGGGGGGGGTCCCTCTTTGACAAGTCCATGGAGTGACTGGGTGGGGCTACAATTTTGGAGAATGAGGAGTTCCCCTCTAAAAGTTAACCGGGCCTTTTCTGAAAGAAGAATGAGAAAGAATCGCTCTCACAGTCAGGAGGGTTTAGGGATTGGACAGACCTTAAGTGATTTCAGAGGAGCTGGGTTTTCCTGTGAGGCTCTGTTTGTCGGAGGATTCTACCCTGAAGACTGAGAATAAGGCCCCTTCACTTATTCCCAGTGGGAAGCTTGGCAATTGATCTGAAAATGACTAGCGGTGATTCGGAAGGAAATGCCACCCCTTCCAGGCTTGGGGCAGGCGGGGGCTTGGGGCCTACTCTCACTAAGCAGCACAGCAGAGAAGAGGAATTTAAAGAGACCACCCCACCCCACCCGCGACTCACCGGAAAGTTGGGGACAGAGAGAGGAACTCCGAAGTGGCAGAAAGGATGAGAAAGCGGGATGCCGCAGGAGAGAGGAGGCGAAGCCAGGCCTCTGCGCAGTTGGAGGGGAGGGCTTCGGGAGTCTCAGGGTAGGGGAGGACCAAGGGGGACGTGGGCTCGGGGCTTGCGAAGAATGACTCGGAGGGTGAAGGAGATCTTTGAAGTGACTCGGGGCTCTCGGAGGTGAAGGAGGCGTCCGGGGTCAATTCCGGAGGGTGGGGGGCGCGACCGGTACTCACAGAGCGGATCTCCAGCGCCAGGGCGCATTGCAGCGCCTTCACCTTCGGCATCCGCGCGGGGTGGGGCGGCGGGGAGGGACCCCGGCCACGGGCCCGAGCGGGACGGAGAGACGCAGCTCGGGGTGGGGACGGGGAGGAGACGAGGTGCCGGTGGCGGCGGCAGCTGTGGCCCCCAGGCCGGAGCCCGCGGTCCAGCCTGGGTCCCGCCCGAGCAGCAGCTGAGCGCGGGGCGCGGACCCGTTGTCATGGCAGCCAGAAGGGGCGGGGCCGGAAGAGAAGCTAGAGGAGGCGCTCCACGGCCTCCGGCGCTAGCGGCTGGGGGCGGGGCGCGCGAACGCCGGGCGGGGCGGGCAGGCGAGGGGGCGGAGCTTCCGAAGGGGAGGGGCGAGGCGATTCTTCTGTGACATCAAACTGTGGGCCGGGAGACACGAAAGAGAGAATAGCTGTTTGTATAATGGGACAGTGCACAGGTCAAGGAGTTGGACTCAGGAGCCTTGAGTTCCAACGTGGTGATGGCACCTTTGGCTAGTGGCATCCCACGGTGCCCTCAGTTTCCCTAACTGTGGAAGAATAGCAATTTTTATTAGTCCTCCCATTTTAATTTCACAGTACATCTTACGAAGTCAGCATGAGGACACTGAGGAGAGACTTGCCCTAGTCAAAGGCAATACCAAGATTAGAACCCAGGAGCTCTCAAGTGAACCCCAGCTGCCTTCCTGAGAAGAGGGGCTTGAATCAGATCATCACATTACTCTTCCAGTCTCCTATTCTGTGATTCTGTCTTTGTTAGTATGTCTCCCTTCCTTTGAGAGTTTTATGTTTGATTCATCTGTGTGTGCATCTCAATGCATATTGCTTAAATTGGACTCTAATGAGGGGTCAACAATAAATGCAGTTTTGTAAGGCCTGGCCATATACCATGAAAGACAAAAAGAACCTAAGAGTGTGCCAATCCAATCATGTTAAAAATCATTGTTACTGAAAAATACATTATACGTACAGAAGTGTACAAAAAATATTCATCTTAATAATGAGAACAATACCTGTGCAACTAACACTCATTAAGAAATAGAACATTACCAACACCATAAAAATGCCCTCCTTGCCCTGGAAGTAATCAGCACTCTGACTGTTGTTACAATAATCCCCTTGCCCTTGCTGTTCATGTATGTTTTTTTTTTTTTTTTTTTTTTTTTTTTTTTTTTTTTTTTTTTTGAGTTTTTCGTCAAGGCTGGGTTTGAACCCGCCACCTCCAGTATATGGGGCCAGCACACTACTCCTTTGAGCCACAGGCACTGCCCACATTTTTCTTTTTTTTGAGACAGAATCTCAAGCTGTCCCCCTGGGTGGAGTGCCATGGCATCATAGCTCACAGCAATCTTCAACTTCTGGGCTCAAACCATCCTCTTGCCTCAGTTTTTCTATATTTAGTAGCGATGGAGTCTGGCTTTTGCTCAGGCTGGTCTCGAACTGTGAGCTCAAGCAATCCACCCACCTCGGCCTCCCAGAGTGCTAGCCTTACAGGTGTGAGCCACTGAGCCTGGCCTACATTTTTTTTTTTTTTGAGACAATCTCACTTTGTTGCCTTCAGTAGAGTGCCGTGGCATCTTAGTTCACAGCAACCTCAAACCCTTGGGCTCAAGAGATCCTCTTGCCTCTGCCTTCCAGGTAGCTGGGACTATAGGCTTCTGCCACAATGCATGACTAATTTTAGAGGCCAAGGTTGAGGGGGGTCTCCCTCTTCCTCGGGCTGCTCTTGAACTCCTGAGCTCAAGCATGCACCTGCCTTGGCCTCCCAGAGTGCTGGGATTACAGGCAGGAACCACCACACCCAGAAAATCTTAATATTATGAAAAGAGAGATAGGCAATTTAACACTTCTGAGGTGATGTAATTAGAAGTATACAGTAACACCTTTCATGCTGAAAAATCAAACATGAATTTGACTAAGCATTCAAATCTACTGTCAAGGTATAGGAAATAAAAGAGTCAAAGAAACTTGTTAGAACCACAGGGATATAAGTGAAAAAATAAATGTGATATGGTCTCTTCAACAAATAAATTGCAAAGAAAAGTAAAAAAGGAGGCCTTGTGTATTAAGAGACAAAAGAGATGGAATCTAATTTAAGGTATTTATGAGAACACTGGAGAAACTTTAATGCTACTGGATAAATCGTGATCTTAAGAAATTATGAACTCTGGAGAAACTTTAATGCTATTGGATAAATCGTGATCTTAAGAAATTATTATTAAATGTTTATATATGGACTCAGCGCCCAAAGCTCAGCGGTTAGGGCACCGGCCATATACATGGAAGCGGGCAGGTTCCAACCTGGCCCCAGCCTGCTAAACAACAATGACAACTGCAACAAAAACATAGCTGGGCATTGTGGCGGGCGCCTGTAGTCCCAGCTACTTGGGAGGCTGAGGCAAGAGAATTGCTTAAGCCCAAGAGTTTGAGGTTGCTATGAGCTGGGACATGACAGCACTCTACCAAGGGTGACATAGTGAGACTCTTCCTCAAAAAAAAAAAAAAAAAACAGTTTATATATGATCATGGTGTTAGGGTCCTGTTATTTTTTTTTTTTTAAAGAGGCCTTATATTTTAACAAGTAATGCACTTTTAAGTATTTATGGATGAAATATGATGTCTGGGATTCACTTCAAAATTCTCCAGTGGAGGTGAGAGTGGCAGTGATGGAAAGTGTGTGAAGGTATGGATGACATGAATTAGCAGTGTAATTGTTAAAGGTTGCTAACAGGTATGCTGGGGTTGGTTTCTGTTTAGTTTCATATCAATACATAGGCAACTAAACAGATGTTCAAAATTGTCAGTTGCTCTTTCTATACTGATAATTGAGGTAATCATATGTGATTTCAATGTTAGCCTATTTATGAAGCAAATTATATTTCTGATGATATATCTTTCTTATAGTCCTTTATTATTTTATGAATATGCTTGTGTATTATATTAGCTAATATTTTGTCTAGATATTTGCCTCTAGATTTATAAAAGAATTGAGCCTATAATTTTATTTTCTTTTATGGTCCTTTCCTGATTTAAGAATCTAAATTATACCAACTTTATAAAAGAAGAAAATATGTTAAACCATATGCTCTTATCCAATAGATAAAAGATGAGCAGAGAAACCCGTGGTGGACCACCAGCCATCAGGTTGCCCTACTCAGGAATATTTGAGCCTCCACCTATTTTCCTAACTGTTTTTAAATTGGAGGTAAATCACTACCTTGCAGGGTTATTGACAAGAGTGCTGATGATGACGTTCATATAGTTAAGTGTTAACCATGCTTCCTCTGTTTTTATAACAAACTTGGAAGTCACTTGGTGTTCTCTTCATTTATCTTCTATCTTTTTTCTCAGATTTTTCAGATTGTATAATTTTTATTGATCCATCCTCTAGATAACTGACACTTTCTTCTGATATCGCCAGTCTTCTGTTAAGCCCATCCATTGAATTTTCTTTTCAGTTCATGTATTATTTAATTCTAAAACTTCCATTTGGTTCTTTTCTTAGTTTCCACATGTCTGCTGAGATTTTTCTATTTTTTCATTCATTAGGATTATTTTTTCCTTTGCTCTTTCAACAACATTTTCCTTGAATTCTTTGAACGTATTTATTATAGCTGCTTCAAAGTCTTGGTATGCTGTATCCAATACCTGTGTCCTATTGAATTCTGTTTCCACTCATTGCATGTTTTCATAACTATGGGCTGCATTTTCCTATTTCTTTGTATGCCTAGTGATTTTTTTAATTAAATATTTAATATTTAAAATAACTCATATAGTATTTTTTTTTGACAGAGTCTCAAAACTGTCACCTTGGGTAGAGCACCGTGGTGTCACAACTCCCAGCAACCTCAAACTGTTGGTCTTAAGCGATTCTCCTGCCTCAGCCTCCCAAGTAGCTGAGACTACAGGCACCTGCCACAATGCCAGCTATTTTTGTCTCTTTGTTTTTTGGTTGTAGTTGTCATTGTTGCTTAGCAGACCGGGGCCAGGTTCCAACCCCCCTACCCTCAGTGTATGTGGCCAGCGCCCTGCCGACTGAGCTACGGGAGCCCCCTAAAATAACTCATATAACACTGAGTTCTATTGTGTTTCTCTGAAGAGTGATGATTTTTATTTCCAGCAGGTATTACAGTTTAATTACTGGCTGACTACCTTAACCCTGTGTAGATTTAGTGTTATTCTTTGTTACTGCAGATATGTGGAAAGCCCAAGATATTTCTAAAGCCTCTCTAACTTGATGGAACCCAACCTCCAATCTCTTTCTCTCCTATAGGTTTTGCCAGACTTGGTTGCAGACTTAGACAAGGCAAGTCTTGTGTAAGCCCTACTTTCAGGCGTAGTCCTCACTGCTATGGTTCAGCTTCCCTGGTGTATTAGCTGGATGCCAGAAATATTAATTGCAGGAGGACAGAGTCCTGAATGGCCTTGGCCAACACAGCAAGCCTGCAACTCTTAAGTAAAATATACCAAGAACGTGATACCCTAAGATAAAGAGGAAATATCCCAAACAACTCACTATGCTCTCATTCTTCTAGAACAGAATGCTTTGCAATACTTGTGCTCAGGGAACCTCGTGGTACCCTGGGTATGTAAACCCAGAGCAAAGTGCCCTTAGGGTCCTTCAGCCACAGTGCAAAGTGGGGCAAGTGCAGAGAAGCCTGTATCCACTCTGGGCAGCTTTCCTGAGCCTTAGTGGACCAGGTAGCCATGGATCCTCAGCTGCTGCTTACTCTTGGTGCCTGTTAATGAGTAATTTGTTTTGCATGGTTTGTTGTGTGAGTGTTCTGTCTCACCAGACTCAGACTCAGTCTCTAGCAGCTGGCTTTGTACAAACATCCTGCGAGATTTAGGAACCTTTGCATTAACTAAGTGTTAAAAAAAAATCTCTTGACTCCACAAGGCTCCAGCTTGATGAAAGCATTTCAAATTGTATATGAAAACACTACACTGTAGCCCGTGTTTGCATTAATGTATACAGCTATCATTTAATAAAAAAAAAAAAAGTATTTCTGTTCTGCTCTTACCCTGTAGCAGTTGCTA